TTTAAAAATTATTTAATTTTATTAATTAATTAATTAATTTTAATTTGTCCGGGGTGGGGGAAGTGAGAGAGCAAGCTGCCAGGTCTGGGACTCAAACTGTGGTCAGCCACGTGGAGTGTCCAGCACCTTAACCACCATGCCACCTGCTGGTCCCCTAAAATAATTTAAAAAATAAAATAAAATAAAATAATGTCCCTTTGGGATCAACAGATGGCATAATCATAATGCTGGACTCCCACATAGTTGACTGCGGGATGAGTCCTGACCCTAGCAACTTAAAACTCATGCCAGGCATATGTATGTGCATGCCCAAGATCCTGAGAGGTGAATGGAGGAGAAGGGATTGCGGCATGGCCTTCCCTCTGGGGGGGTGGTATGATTTTGATCATATATAATAAAGGAATGCTGCTATCTGGTTTAATTCCTCTGACTTCTAAGGTAACTGGATTTTAGCAAGTAGAAACTTGTGACTGACTTCTGCTGAGAATTTAAGTCTACTAAAAGAAATGAGAAATTAGACTAGCCCACACACTGGTGGTTAAGGTGGCAAGATCCCACACGGCCGATGCACAGTTTGAGCCTTGGACCTGATGGCTTGGAAACCATGCCGAGCATGTGTGTTAGGTGTCCAAAGCCCAAAAGGAGAATGACGGAGAAGGGATCACGGCATGACCACTTCCCCCTAGTGGGGGGGAACTTACCTGCTTCCTTCTCTCTCTCTCTGTAGAGAGCATATGCCCTCTGCAAATTAAAAAGAAAAAAAGAATGTTCACCTGTTTAATTATGTTTGTTCAAATTACATCTATATTTTAGCATGATCTTTCCTTCTAATCTTTTAAAAATATATTAACCATTCTGGTTTTAGTTATTTTATTGCCCCTAATTACTATTAGTGCTCATGTTTCCTTTCTTCTGAATCAGTAATGAAGGCCACGTTTCTGTTCAGAGTCTTTGAAGAAAATTATATAAACACTTCTCTTCAAATTTTGCTTATAATTTAAAAGGGCAAATATTCTTGTTTATTTATTTATTTATTTTTCCTCCAAAATACTACTTTCACTAGTGTAAGTCATACACTTGATTAGCCAGACTGGGAGGAAAAAAATCTTCACACACCTTTGATCTAACCTCGTGAGGACTATTCCTGTCACGGATGTGTGGCTTTGTGCTCCAAAGACTTGACATCATGTGCTCCAATTCCTTCAGTTTCTTCATTTCAGTTCAAGTGCCTGCTACTCTTTAGGCTGGAATTCTGGAACATTACAGTTTAAGACATTCTTTATGACTATTTAAATCTAATATCACGTTGACCTACATTTCCACCATTGGTTTCTTTGATGGATAAATACCCACGAAGGTGAATTTAAAGAAGTTACTGCCCCTTTATTATTGACCTGGCCAACTTAAAATTAAGCAGGATAACATTCATACTTCATTTTGATTGGAAATTAGGAAAACACAGAAGCTATATTTTCTCAGTGTCATTACAGCTGTCAAAAAGAAAACTGAAGCCATCATAGTTTTTCCTAGAGTATTAAGAAATTAGTGTAACTTAATCATACCCTCTTTACTTTCTTCTTTTTTAAAAAAGAATTATTTCATTTAACTTTATTTTAATTTGACCAGAGTGAGAGAGACAGAGAGAGAGAGAGAGAGAGAGAGAAAGTGAGAAAGCAAGCTGCCAGGTCCAGGACTGTTCCTGGTCCACGGTCTGCCATGTGGGAGTCCAGCATCCTTAACCACCACGCCAACTGCCGGCCCCCACCCTATTTACTTTCTAGGTTAACTAAGTAAAATGAGGGGTAAGAGTTCTTTGAAATCCACAAGTACAATCTGCATATTCATAATTTGGAGAATAATTTAATATGTTAACTTTAAGATACAACTATTTTCTGATGTCCTTATTTAAACTTAAAGAAAAGGATCTGTATTACAAGACCAAAATAACCCACAGACCATGAGGCTGATTTTTATGTTTCCTTTTTTTTTTTGTTTAAACAAATGGGCACCACAATGTTTCAACAGGTAAGGCAAATGCCATGAGTGTGAAAACTGCATTCGCAATGTACCACATCTAGACTCCAGGGGAGGTGAATCGGACAGTAGTGGTAGTCATTCTAATTGAACAATCAGGTAACATCATGACAAGTGGTTTGCAGCATCAAAACTGTCCGTTTAAGTTTCTTTTTTCTTGATGATCAGAGGTCCCACGTTGTCTCCAGTCTCCTCGTTGTGTTTTGTGTGAGCTCCATCACAGAATGGGAACTAGGAAGAGAATAAGAGACGTTGAGATCTCTAATACCAAAATCAGTATTGCGCTTGGCACAATAGGGGGACTGCTTAATTTAAACATGTAACATGACTGGCTATCTTAGATAGGCTTTCTTAAAGGGCTTATGTAAAGAACATATTACATACTAAGGAGGAAAAAACTGTCAACCTGTGGATAGTATACAGATCATTACCGAAGTTCACGGTGTCACTTAACTATGGAATTGAAAACCTTTCCCTGTTTATGTATTAGTCACATTTCTTTCCAGTGAACTATGGTCACTAATGACATTTGTAAGAATTGAAGTTATTCTGGGGACCACCAGTAGCATGGTGGTTAAGACGCTGGACACTCCCACATGGCTAAACATGGTTTGAGTTCTGGACTTGGTGGCTTGCTTTCTCACCCCCCCACCCACGTGTGTCTCTCTCTCTAGTCAAATTAAATAAATGAATAAATAAATAGAATTAGATCATTTTTCTTAAAAAATTCTTTTATTTACCCTTATTTATTTGTTTTAATTTGACTAGAGAGCGACAGAATAAGAGAGAGAGAGGAAGTGAGAAAGCAAGTCACCAGGTCCTGGACTTGAGCCAGGTCGGCTATATGGGTGTCCAGCTCCCTTAACTACCATGCCACTTGCTGGCCCCCAAAATAAATAATTCTCTTTTTAAATAAATAATTATTTTATCTAACTTTATTTAATTGCTGTCGGTCATGTGGGAGTCTAGCGCCCTTAACCACCATGCCACCCTTCAGCCCCAAAATAAATAATTCTTAAAAAGAAAAAAGGAATTTAAATTCATTTGTTTAAAATCATGCTAATTATCTCTACAGCAATGTTTTCTCTAAACTTTTTCATTTTGTTTTCTTATATCCTTAATTTTTCCACTTCTGTAAAAGTGAAGAAAAATTTTAAATAATTTTGCTAGTTCTTCTTTTCATTGTTTTGATTTTGCCATAGGCTATGTGTCTTGTCAGAGAGAGAGACAGAAAGAGGACAGTGAGAAATCACTCTCCCCCAGAGGGAGGATGATCATGCTTCCTCCTTCTCTCAGGATTTTGGGCACACACACGCACATGCCCAGGTGTTTTTCAAGCTGCTGGGTCAAGGCCTTGAATTGTGGAGTCAGCCATGTGGGATCTGGCACCCTAATCACCATGCCACCTGCTGGGCCAATTATTTTCATTTAAAAATTATTTTATGTATTCATTCATTTATTTTAATTTGATGAGAGAAAGAGAGAGAGACTAAGAGTGAGAGAGAAAGCTAGAAAGCAAGCCACCAGGTCCAGGACTCGAACTGCGGTCAGCCATGTGGGAGTGTCTAGCACCTTAACCACCACACCATTTGTTGGTCCCAATTATTTCCATTTTTAATATCACTCATGGAGACTTTCCTCTACAGATGTGACAAAAAATTTCCATTCCTTTTCATGATTTCACATTTCAGATATAACTGATATTCTGGTGTCCAGTGGCAGGGAAAGGGATAAAACCGAATTTCTTTTTCTATTTTATAAATTAAAAAAAATTTATTTAATTTTATTTGTCATGATTATTTTCATTCAACCAGAGAGAAACAGAGAGAGAGAGAGAGAGAGAGAGAGAGAGAAGAGGGGAAGTGAGAAAGCAAGCTGCCAGGTTTAGGACTTGAACCATGGCTAGCCATGTGGAAGTCCAGTGCCTTTAACCACCATGCCACCTGCTAACCCCCAAAATCAAATTTCTAACACGATGTCTCAAAGTGTGTTCTAAAGAGGCTGAATGTTGCAAGATACTCTGATTTGGTTTCATTCTATATTTAAAAAAAACCATAGAGCCTTCTTCACTAACAGCATACATTATTATTTTAAAAGAAGTCCTGCTGAGGGACGAGCAGTTAGCGTAATGGCTATGTTGCTGGACTCCCACATAGTCGACTGTGGTTCGAGTTCCGGACCCGGTGGTTTAAACTCACGCCAGGCGCTTGTGTGTGTGTGCCCAGGATCCCGAGAGGAGAATGGAGAAGGGATTGCGACATGGCCATCCCGTCTGGAGGGTGATTTTTCGCTTTCTATCTCTCTGTCTCTCTGGCGAACGCATGCGCCCTATAGCAAAATCCTCTCCAAAAAAAGAAAAAGAAAAAAAAAAAAGAAGTCCTGCTAGAAAAAAAATTTATTTTAACCCAGAATTTCTAAAGCTGACTGGACTATGAACACTTCTAACTTAAAAAAAATTAATTCTATTTTTTGTTATTATTATTTTTAATTTTGACCAGAGACAGAGAGATAGAGAAAGGGAAAATGAGAAAGGAAGCCACCAGGTCTGGGATTTGAACCACAGTTAGCCATGTGGGAATCCAGCGCCCTTAACCACCAAGCTACCTGCTGGTCTTGAACACTCCTAACTTTGATATTCATTATCATAGTATTCTGTAGAGCACACTCAGCACAATGCCATTTTAAGAGCCTGTTGTTTTAGCATTATTAAAAGCTGTTGCTTCCTAATTATACCTTGACTCAAAATTATTATTGACTTGACTATTATTAATGACCTTGACTCATTATTATACCTTGATTTATTTTATCAAAATAAATACTACATACAAAAGTGCATATATGTCCATATATATATATATATATTCCATATGTATATACGGACTCTATATTATTGTATTGATCAGTCTGCTACACTGACATAAATGTGTTTAAAATGTTTTAGCATTTGGTAGGGCTAGTTTTCCTTCTTTTTTTTAAGTTAACTCTATTAAACCATACCTATTTATTCTTCCAGATAAGCTTGAGAATATTTTTGCAGAGTCTTATTTTCAATATTTCTCTGGTAGTTTTTACCCTCAGGTCTCATGTGTATTTTTTCTTTTTGGGGAGAGGTTTTTGCTATAGGGCATGTGTGCTCGACAGACAGAGAGACAGAAAACGAGAAATCACCCCCTGGGGGGATAGGCACGCCACAATCCCTTCTCCAATCTCTTCCTGGTATCTTGGGCATGCACGCACACGCGCCCAGAGTTTCAAGCCACTGGGTCTGGGACTCGAACCGTGGTTGATTACGTGGGAGTACAGTGACATAGCCATTATGGTAACTGCTGGTCCCCCCCCCCCTTTTTTTTTTTTAGGAGAAAACAAATTTCTTAAGCTTTTACTGGCATGTGTTAAGCTGTCCCACGAAGCCCTGCGACAGAAAGCAAGAAATCACCCCCCACGGGGGATGGCCATGCCGGAATCCCTTCTCCTCCATTCTCCTCTCAGAATCTTGGGCATGCACGCACACGCACCCGGAGTGAGTTTAAGCCACTGGGTCTGGGACTCGAACCACGGTTGGCTACATGGGAGTCCAATGACATAGCCATTATGCTAACTGCTGGCCCCATGGAAAACGAGACAGCAAGCCACCCAGTCCAAGACTTGAACCGTGGTCGGCCATGTGGGAGTGTCCAGCACCTTAACCACCATGCCATCTGCTGGTCCCCCTCATGTGTATTCTTGTAAGATTATTTGTATTATATTATTATGGTAATTATAATTAGGTATATTTCATTATCTGATTTTTTGAGAGAGATTTTTGCTATAGGGCGTGTGTGCTCACTGAAGAGACAGAGACAGAGAGACAGAAAGTGAGAAATCACAGCCCAGGACTGATGGCCACAACACAATCCCTTCTCCTCCATTCCTCTTGGGATTTTGGGCATATACGCGAATGCACCTGGTGTTAATTTAACCTGCCGGGTTCAGGACTTGAACTACAGTTGACTATGTGAGAGTCCAGGGATGTAACCATCATGCCATCTGCTGGTTCCTCATATCTGAATATTTTTTAATTAAATTTTACTTATTATTATTATTCAATTTGAGCAGAGAAAGACAGAGACAGAGAGAGAGGAAGAGCAAGAAAACAAGCCACCAAGTCTGGGATTCGAACCATGGTCGACCATGTGGGAGTCCAGCACCCAAACCACCAGGCCACCTGCCAGTCCCATACTTGGAGATTCTTGACATATATAAATATCTTTAGTTTTCCTAGCATATCTTTTCTAATGTTAAATGATGAAAATAAGACTTCAACATTTGAGATGATATCTCATGATTTTACACACTTGGAAGATCCAATTACCAGTGAATTTTTTTGTTTTTTATTTATAACTTTTATTTCTATTTAATGTCAAAAGATGAGAGCTAGTATCTTTTAAACAATGATTCTCCTTTGATTCATGATAAAGCTCATGTGCATGACAATACACATGTATACACACACACACACACACACACACGCACACAGAAAGCGAGGGAGTGAGCACCCTCCACAGGGTCTGGTCACACTGTGACCGCCTTCCTGCTGTCTTCCAGCACACTGGATCGTGGGCACTGGCACCGTGTGCCTGGTGTGTTTAAGAAGACCAGGCGTGGGATTTGAACTGTGGTTGGCATGTAGGATCTGGCTTGTCTCGAGAAGCCTGTTACCACTGCACCACAGAGCTGACCCTCTTTGTATTATTCTTGATGTTTTGAATGTACTTAAGACTTTAGAGTTCCACTGCTTCATGTAAGGTAGACTGTTGAATTGAAAGAACCTGTTCAGAAGAGTAAAGTAACAAAGAGTCTCGACTTTAAGAAAAAAAATCTTGTTACTACTACAAGGAATATAATCTTAGATACTTCAAGTTGACAAAGGTGGTATGTAACGTTAAGCACTGATATCCAGAAGTCTCTACCCTAAGATGAAAATACTTGACTGCTTCTAAAAAAATCCAATCTTGATTTTACCATTGTATAAATTAGTTAAAAATTACAAGCTCAAGATATATTTCATATTTCCAGATATAAATGCTATTGAGTTAAACAGTAGTGTAAGTATATATAAAGCTTACATTATTTCCTTTTTCAGGTCAGTAGATGTGGTATGTGGTATACCCATGTTAAGAACAAGTCTTGCAGCAAAAACATGAACCTAAGCTTTCAGTTTTTTCTTGGGATAGATGAGGAAAGAGGCTACA